ATGGCTCAGGGAAGGTGTGTGGTCTTTGAGCCACATGAGCTCCATCAGAAATCCCGACTTCCTCTCCAGTCGCTAAGTCTTTCCCACTCTGTTGTAAAAAGTATGGTTTATTATGCCATACGGTATGGGGCCCTGCTCCTGATCCATCTTCTGGAGAAGACAAAGTCTCAGGTGTATTTGACTTGTATTAGACATATTCTTTTCTCTCTTTTTTTTTTCTTTTGCATTCAGATTAGTATGAGCGAACAAATGTTTAGGTTACACTGTTTTTGATTCTAAGGGATAGCAGCAGATGGCCTGGCAGCACACAGACAGGCAGCACTGGGGCAGCAGCAGGTAGGCTGGCAGCAGCTGGAGATGCAGCAGGAAGGCCTGCAGCACACAGACTGGCAGCACTTGGGCCTGCAGCAGCTGGACACACAGCAGCAGTTCAAGTCATAGTGGAGCCCTTCACCCAGGGGTCATGCTGAACATCCTCACGTTGTGCACATTAGATGAGACCCCAACAATTGCCCTCCCTCCTACCCACTCCTCTTTCTCCCCTTTCCCCTCCCCCTTGCTAGAGTATACATGTATTTTTTCTTTCATGTGGGCATGTAATTGCTTATATATTGGCTTCATATTAGCATTGAGTACACTGGATACTTTTTCCCCATTCTCATTGAGATACTTTACTAAGAAGAGATATATTCTTTTCTTAATACAACTTTTATTTCAAAATATTTGTGAGTACAGGTTTTTTTCTTATTAAATCGTAACTGTGTACGTTAATGTATTCATGGGGTACAGTGTGCTAATTTGATATTCAATGTGGGATGCTTACATCAAACTGGTTAACATAACCATCACCTCACTTACTTATTTGTTGTGGTAGGACATTTACACTCCACTCTGAATAGTTTTGAAATGTACCATTGCATTGTGCACATGAGATAAGGTCCCACCAAATGCCCTCTGTCCTCCCTACCTCCCCCCTCCCTTTCCCTCTCCCTCCTCTTCCCTCCTTTTTTCCAGACTATACTGTGTTTTATCATTTGTATAAGTGTGTAGGTGATTATATATTGGTTTCATAATAGTATTGCGTACACTGAATACTTTTTCTTCCGAGATATTGTGGTATATGTATGCCATGGAATACTATGCAACCATAAAACATGATGGAGACTTTACATCTTTTATGTTTACCTGGATGGAGCTAGAACATATTCTTCTTAGAAAAGTATCTCAAGAATGGAAGATGTTCTTGTTACATAGATGAATTGTATAATGCTGAAGTCAAGGCTTTTAGTATGCCCATCACCAGGGGACTGTACATTGCACCCAATGGATAAGTTTCTTAGTTTCCAATGTATTTTCCACCACTTTATGACTGTGTGTACCCATTGTTTAGCTCCTACTTATTAGTAGGAACATGTGGTATTTGCTTTTCCATTCTTGAGCTACTTCTTCAGATCCTTTCAAGTTGCTCCAAGTGACGTTATTTCATTTCCTTTTACAGCTGAGGAGTACTCCATGCTATGTGTATATGACATTTTCTTTATCCACACATCAATTCATGGGCACTAAGGTTGATTCTATATTTTTGCAATTATAAATTGTGCTGCAATAAACATTCAGGTACATATATCTTTTTGTTTTAGTATCTCCTGTGGGTAGATACCCTGTAGTGGGATTACTGGATCAAAAGATAGGTTACTTTTGGTTCTTTGAGAAATCGCTACAGTTTTCCATAGAGGTTTTACTAATTTACATTCCTACCAACAGTGTATAAGTATTCCTTTATCACTGCATCCAGGCCAATTTCTATGTTTTTTTTTTTTTTTGATGTTTTAATAGTGACCATTTGGATAGTGGCAAGGTGGTATCTCATCATGGTTTTAATTTTCACTTCCCTGATAATTAGTCATCACATGTTAAGTGTTTTTTGACATGTTCTTATGGTGAGTGTTTTTTGACATGTTCTTATGGCAAGAGATAAAGGCAATGTCATGGCCCTGGACTGTCTTGGGCATGTTCCCAAGAACATCTGAGGCAGTTTTTAAAAAAAACAAATATGGAGTTCTAGGCTACATTCCTGAGTAGTGTGTGACTTGGTTATTTCAGAAAGAACGATAGGATAATTTCATTTGCAACTTTGATTCCTAGATAGAGTGATACTGCCTATGAGAACAAGTTAATGGCATGAGGACATATGCCAAAGGCATTACTTAGAATTCCTTTTCTCACCTTGCACGTCCTCAACCTGCACCCGGAGCCATATACTTCCTCCTCACTCAAGAGGGGCTCAACAGCAGGGGGTCTTCTCTTCCTCTTTATGAGCCCTCATGTCAGCATTGTAAAATGGAAACTATTTCATTTCTATTTACTGTCCTTAGCTGCTGCCCCATATGTGTGTCTTGGACTCATGAGACCTGCAGTATGGGCTCAGGTTGAGTCACAGTTGAAGGAGGAATGCATGGACACCCAGTCACCAGTTGTCAGTGATGACAACCCATCAGGAGCTTGAAAATTTAGATGATACATGCAAGGAAGGAACATAAGAGCTAATCTGGAAAGAAAAGAGATTGCACAAAAATGTACCATACAAAGAGAAAAGTCATTCTGACATTGCAAGAAAAAATGTCTACCATTTTCTCATTTAATAATTACATATGTATTAGGGTAAACAATAACAAGGAAGAAACTCTTTCAACAGGGTATAAAAGGCGAACTGGGGCAAAGAGATCCCCAAATTCAAAAAACTCAATCTTCTGGTAACCCACCTAGTATCTCCACTCTCTAACACCATGGTCAGCTCCTGTTGTGGCTCTGTCTGCTCTGACCAGAGCTGTGGCCAAGAGACCTGCTGCCGCCCCAGCTGCTGTGTGTCCAGCTGCTGCAGGCCCCAGTGCTGCCAGTCCCTGTGCTGCCAGCCCACCTGCTGCCGCCCCAGCTGCTGTGTGTCCAGCTGCTGCAGGCCTTCCTGCTGCATCTCCAGCTGCTGCCACCCCAGCTGCTGTGTGTCCAGCTGCTGCAGGCCTTCCTGCTGCATCTCCAGCTGCTGCCGCCCCAGCTGCTGTGTGTCCAGCTGCTGCCGCCCTTCTTGCTGCATTTCTAGCTGCTGCCGCCCCAGCTGCTGCAGGCCCAGCTGCTGTGTGTCCAGCTGCTGCAGGCCCCAGTGCTGCCAATCCCTGTGCTGCCAGCCCACTTGCTGCCGCCCCAGCTGCTGTGTGTCCA